CCTGCCCCAGCCCTGGGGTGTGCTCACTCCCCACCCCATCTGGGTCCCCTCAGGGGGGTCCTGCTGCCGTGGAGCAAGTTGGAGGGACAGGGCCCGGGGTACCCCACACGCAGGCACCCCTCGGGCCGTGGCCGGAGCTCCCCGCCCCACGCAGCCCCCCGCTCTGGCCGCCCCGTCCCGGCTATTTGCGGCACGGGGAAGGAAGCGGCGGCGGTGGGACGGTGCTGCCTGCCCGCTTCCTGCCTGCCCCGTCACAAACAGCCCCCCTGCCTTCGCGGGCAGCGGGCACACGGCCCCACACAATGGCTCTGCCCCACGGCGGGATGGCTTTCCCATGACCCACCGCCCCGGCCCCCTCCACCCACCTGTCCCCCCGCAGCTCCTCTCCTCCAGCAGCACAGACACAACCCCAGGAGGGACCCCGATCCTTGGGGGGGTCCCATCCCAGCGTGGGGCCAGCCGGCACAGGCCCCTCGCCAGCAGGTCCCCACCTCCTGCCCCACAGCTCCGTGGGTGCCGGCCGCGGCCGTGGGGATGGGGCTGTCCCCACCAGCCCTGGGGAAGGGGACAGAACCATCCCCACCAGCCCTGCCGTGCTGGGGTCAGGGGACACGGGCGGGTGACAGCCCGGCGGGGGGGCAGCAGCGTTTGCTCCAGCCGGAGGCTTTGAAATGCAACGCCCCCCCCCCCCCCCCGCCCCAGCCCATTTGGCTGGAGTTTGGCCCAGGCCCATATGGAGCAGCAGAGCGGGGAGGGGGTCCCGTGGTGGGGGCAGCAGCTGGGGCGGGGGCCGGTGGGACCCCCTGACCCCAGCACAACTCTTTCCCCACGCGCGGCGCTGGACGGGGATCCCCACAGCATCCTCCCTCGTCCCTGCCTGGCTGCCCCCCCCCGGGGCCGTATCCTGCTCCTGCCCCAGCCACGCTGCTCCCTGGCGCTGGCACATGAGCCTCCATGCGTGTGCGCGTGTGCCTGCACATGTATGTGGTGGCTCTGCACGCGAGCTGGCCTCTTGGTGCCCCATGGGCGCCTCCCTGCATGGCTGCTGCACACCTGCACACGCTTGCACACGCCTGCACATGGCTGTGCCCCCACGCGCGGCTGCGGGGTGTCAGCTGGGGGGGGGCTGTGTGTGATTGTGCACACATGCACACGCCAGGCGCACGAGTGTGAGCGCCCGCCTGCACAGGCTGCACTTGCACCGGCACATGTGTGTGGGAGCCCCCCGTGTCGTGCACCCCCAGCCCCGCCACCGCCCTGGTGCTCCTGGGGGGCACGAGACCCCAGCACACCACCCCTCGAGCCACCCCCATCCCCGTCCCTGTCCCCGTCCCCGTCCCCACCACCGCTCCCCTCTGCGCTCGCCGCGTAATGAAGCCGGGGTCAGCCCCGCACTCGCGCGCGCGGCGAGGTCGGCGCGTGTTAATGAATAGATCATTTGCCAACAGCCCCTGGGGGGGATCCCCGGCATCCTCCCAGCTCCCGGCACATTAATCCCCGTTTACCGGGGCGAGGTGTAATCCCATTAGTCGTGGCTTCGCCCGCGGCCCCCGGCCCCGCGAGCGGGGTCAGGATTTATTGCCAATAATTGGCCAGGTCTCCTCCCCCGGCACGGGGCGCGGCGCTGCCAGCGGCTCCCCCGGTGATGCCCCGCTTGCCTCCGCTACTGACGGTTTAATTTTGCACCGAGCTATTCCCCTTATTAAAGGAAAATTCATTTGCAAGCAATTTCCATGTGCAAACTGCTCTGCAGCTCCAGCTCCGGCGCGGGGCTGGGAGCGCCCCTAATCGAGTTACCGCCAGGCGCTTCGGCACGGAGCCGCGTTATTGAAATGGATCCGCTAAATAATAGATCAGGGGCAGAGCGCGGTGCCGGGGTGTAAGCGTATTAACGGGCTGAGCCACCGCCTCCCGCCCCTAATCGCGTTACCCCGGCACGGGGAATTGCTGGCACAACACAGGCACCCCAGCGTGGTGTGGGGCGTCCTGCCAGCCTGTTCCTGGGTGCCCCTGACGTGGGTGCCCCTGAGCTGGGGTGCCCGGAGCTGCTGGTGCTTGGAGCCATGGGTGTCCCCAAGATGGGGGGGTCTTGAGGGGGGGTCAGGGCAGCCCCAGCCACTGGCACGGGCGGTCTCCAGAGCGTGTACACCCTCGTGCATGCAGACACCCCTTCACACATGTGCAAACCCGTCGTGCATGCACAGACCCCCCCCCACACACACACGTGCACACATGTGCTCAGGCGCTGGGGGGTGCGGAGCCTGGCACAGCTGCAGGGGGAAGGGGTGTGAGGGGCTCAGCCCTGGCCCATCCAGGTGCTGCAGCTTGCCCCCACCGGGCTGGCAGCAGCCACGGGGGGCTGAGGGGGGCTTGGGGAGCAATGGGCCCAGACCCCCCCAGGGGACCTGAGCCCCTGCGGGACGGAGGCGTGGGAGCCAAGCCGGGGCTGGCAGTGCTTCGCCGGGGTGTGCTGCCCTGGGGTGCCCCTGGTCCCATCCAGGCAGCCGTGCCCGTCACCATCCCCGCCGGCCACGGGCGCCCGGCCAGCGCAGGGCGCTCGGCCCCGCTCCGCAGGAAACTCCAATGTTCCTGCAAAAATTCAGAGGTCTCTTTTTGTTTTCCACCGTCTGTCCTGCTTTGGGGTGAAAAGCGTTTCCCACCCTGTGTTCCCGGCAGCTGGAGCTGACACTTCCCCCGCCCAAGGCTCACCCAGTGCTGGGGCTGGGGACCGGGGGGGCTGTGGGCCTGCCGAAGGGGTGGGCATCACACCCACACCCATGCCTGTGCCCGTGGCCGTGGCCGTGCCCTCACCCTGCCTGCAGTGGGCTACCGGGGGCTCAGCACCGCCCGGGGGCCTGGGGTCACTGGGCAGCTCATGGGGAACAAGTGGGGGGGTCAAGGAGAGAAGGAGGTGCTGGGACCACTCCCCAGGAGCATCCTCGGGCTCCTGGCTGCTGCGTGGGGGATGCACCCCAACTGCTGAAGAGCGATGGGCAGGGCGATGGGGCAGGGGGATGGGGCAGGAGCAATGGGGTAGGGGGGATGGGGCAGGGGCAATGGGGCAGGGGGATGGGGCAGGGCAATGGGTCAGGGGGATGGGGCAGGGCAATGGGGCAGGGGTGATGTCCCACCCCATCAGGGTGAGCACTGCAGCTGGAGATCCGCCCAGGGCCCAGCCTGGCTCCTGCCTGCCCTGCCCCACGCCCAGGGCCCGGCCGGGGCTCCAACCCCTGGCAGCTGGAGGTGCAGGGGGGGCTTTGCCCCACAGAGCAGGGCAGCCACAAGCCCCCATCGGCACAGAAACAAGGAATTGCCCTGAACAGCGATTTCCCAGTGCGTGTCATGGCGCACCAGCTGTGACACAGCCCAGGGCACGGGCTTGGCCACCCCATGGGGCTGGGGCGGGGGCCAGAAGGGCCGTGCACTGTCTGCGCCCCTTCCCCACCCCTGCCCCTCAGGTGCCCGGGGCCTCCCAGTGCCCTCGTGCTGTGCGGTGTGGCCGGGGGGGGGACGTGGCTCCCAGGGGCCCAGCTGAGCCCGGGGTGGTGGGAACGGGGCAGGGGACGGGGCCCACCTGCACCCCGGGACAGGCCCCGTCCCCCGGGAAGCATCGGGACCCGGCAGCACGTGCGGCAGCTCCCCCCGCTCCCCACGCTGCACTGCCACCAGCCAGGGGGGTGAGCCCACCCGCGAGGACAAAAGACACGTGCGCGGGGCCTTGTGTGCCCGTGGGAGTGGGGGCCTGGCCGGCAGCACCGCAGCCACGCTGCCGGCCCGGCACTTCCCGGGAGCAATCTGCAAATCTTTCCCAAATCGGTTCAATCCCAGGCTGCCGAAGCGCGCACACACACACACACACACACACCCCTCCCCGCCCCCGCCCCGCTCCGGCGTTTAATTGCTCCGGCTGCTGGGAAATTTCAAGGTTGAATTTGTCTAACTCCAATTTCCAGCCGGGGGATCGCGTTCTGCCTTTGTCAGCAAGATTGGAAGCCCCCCAACCCCTCCCGGCACCGGCACTGCCGGGTCCCCCTGCACCTGCTCCCCCAGCCCGGCACGGTTTTCCCGCCGCCCCCCCGCCCCCAGGTTCATTTTCTCTCATTACCGCCGTGACCCCTGCACCCTCCACACCGTCACCCTGTGTGTGTGTCCCCCCCAGTGTCCCCTCGCCAGCCCCAGAGCATCCCAGCAGCAGACCCATGGGGGCACTGGGCGGGATCGGGACCAGGGGGATGAGGGGCGATTCGGCATCCCCCTGGTCCCCATCCCGCTGGAAGAGACGGACCCGGTGTCGGCAGCCGGGGCTCACCTGCGTGTGCGGGCGTCCCCGGGCTTTTTACAAGCGATCGGGATCCCGGAGCTATTTGTACCAGGGAGGGCAGCGGGGGGGGGGGGCGAGGGGGGGGGGGGCGGAATTTATGGCCGGGCCGCGCTCTGAAACCCAAAACCCACCCGAAGCGGCCTAATCACTCCCAGACGCGGCGGCCCCTGCGCTTTTATGGGGCATTTTAGAGCAGGGGAGCTAATAAATTTTTTGCGACGGTAAAAGCCCCGCTGAGGATGGCGGGGGGGGTGGTGGGGGGAGCAACGGGCACCCACTGGCCGCCTCCCGGGAGCGGGGGGGGGGGGGGCGGATTAAAATCGCTGTACAAGGGGGAGGCGTGGCGCTGCGCCCCGTCTTCATCCCGGTAGCGGCGGCGGAGGGGGAGCGGTGCCCCCCCCTCTTCACCCCCCCCCTCTCCCCATCGATGGCTCCTCCTCCTCCTCCCGGTGCCCAATTTGCCGCCCCGGCCCCGGGTCTTTAAGGCTGCGGCACCGGGGCCGCGGGGTTGGGGGGGTGGGGGGGGGCAGCGGCGGCGGGCGCGGAGCTGCCCAGCCCCACCGAGCGGCTCCCGGCGCCGGGAGACCGATCGCTCCCCGCCGCCGCCGCCGCCGGGCCCCCGCCGAGGGGGCGGGAGCGCCCGCGGGGTTTAAGTGCGGCCGCGGCTTGATGCGCGGGCGGGACGGCGGCGGCGAGCAGGGGGGGGGGACCCCGGCGGGATGAGGCGGGCGCGGTGCTGAGGCGGCCCCGGTGCGGGAGCGGGGACGCGTCATGACCTCGGCGCGGGAGGCGGCCGGTTCCCCCCCGTTGCACCCCCCGGGCGGCGGGCGGCGGCGGAGCGCCCTGGACCAGCTCCCGCCGCCCGCCAACTCCAACAAGCCGCTGACCCCCTTCGGCATCGAGGACATCCTGGGGCGGCCCCGCGGCGGGAGCCCCCCCGGGCCCGGCCCCGCCGCGCCCCCCGCCCGGCTCCCCGAGAAGGCGCCGGGGCCCCGCGGCGGCGGCTGCGCCCCGTCCTCGCCGCTCTGCGCGCTGGAGGAACTCGCCAGCAAAACCTTCCAGGGGCTGGAGCTGGGCGTGCTGCAGGCGGCCGAAGGTACCGGGGCGCGGGGGGCTCCGCCGGGACGGCGGGAGGACGGGACGGGCGGCGGGCAGGTGCCGGGGCCGGGGCGGCGGGGGGTCGCGCCGGGGCCGGGGTCCCTCCTCGCGTGTCCCCGGTAAGTTTCCTTCGTGTCCCGGCGCCGAGAGACCCGGCGGCCGCGGGCCGGGAAGGGGTCGGTGCTCGCCCTGGGGACGCGGCGGGCCGGCCGGGGCAGCCCCGGCTCCTCACCGGCGGCCGCGGCCCGGAGGGACAGAGAGGCCCGGAGCCGGGCACCGGGAGACGGAGCGAGCCGTGGGTGAGTCGCGACCGGGGGCCGAGACACCGGTGCGGGCAGCCCGGGGCTCCGGGAGGACCGACTGGGCCGGGTCCGGCCGCTTTACCGGGAGGGGGCCGGAGGATCGAGCCGGCCTCGGGCCTCGGGAGCCGCGGTCCCGGGCAGCGGATCGGTCCCGGGAGGCGGCCGGGCTGCACCGGGCGGAACGGCGGCACTCGGCCCCGCCGAGCCGTGACCGTGACCGTGACCGAGCGCAGCGGCAGAACGGCGGCGGATCGGGCCCGTCGGCAACGAAAAACCCGTTACCGACCCCGGCGGGCTCCGGCGGCGGGGATCGGGGACGGCGGCTCCGGGAGGGCCTCGGCCTCTCGCAGAAACCCGTTATCGGCGGGGCCGGGGAACCGCCGCGGTTCCCGCGGGGCTCGGCAGCCGCTCCCCGCTCACGGACGTTGCCCGCGGGCTGCCCGGCCCGGCGGGTCGAGGTCCCCGCGGGAACGAACCGGGGAAACCCGCCGTGAGAGCGGGCGGACGGACCGACGGACCGAGCGGCAACCGGGACCGCGCCGCCCGCCCCAGACAAAAATCCTCATCGGGCGGACAGACCGACACGGGCGGAGGAGCGCGGCGGCCGCCGATAACGAAAAAAACCCTACCGAGCTGGACAGACGGACACGGACAGACAGAGCGGGGCTCTCGCGATTAACGAAAAAATCTCTAACACGGACGGACACACGGACAGACAGAGCAGGGCGCCCGCCGTTAACGAAAAAAAACCCCAACCTTATCGGGACGACAGACAGAGCGGGGCTCCGTGATTAACGAAAAAAAGAAAATCCTTACCCGGCCGGACAGACGGACAGGGACGGGCAATGCGGCGTTGCTGCAATTAACGAAGAAAAAACAACAAAACCTTTACCCGGCCGGACAGACGGACACGGATGGGCAGAGAGCAGCTCTCGCCGTTATTGAAAAAGCTTTTACCCCGCTGGACAGGCGGACACAGACAGAGCCGGGCTCCTGTGATTAACCAAAAAAACCGTTACCCGGCCGGACAGACGGACAGAGAAGGGCAAACCTCAGTTCCCGCGGTTAACGAAAAAACCCGTTACACGGACGGACAGATGGACATGGTCACAGCCGGACTCCTGTAATTAATAAAAAAAAAAAAAAATTCCCTTCCCTGGCGGGGCAGGGACGGGCCGAGCGGCGCTTCGGTAATTAACAAACCCCCAGTTACCGGACGGACAGACGGACACGGCTGGGCGGATCAGCGCTCCTGTAATTAACGAAAAAAAAAAAGCCGTTGCGCAGACGGACAGACGGACAGAAAGGGGACAGCTCGGGGCTCCCGGAATTAAGGTAAAAAACCCCATTACCCGGAGGGACAAACGGACATGGCCGCGTGGATCTGCACTTCTGTAATTAACGAAAAAAAAAAGCCGTTGCACGGCCGGACCCACGGACATGGCCGGGCGGAGCAGGGCTGCGGTAATTAACGAAAAAAAAAAGCGGTTGCCCGGCCGGACAGACGGACGCGGCCGGGCAGAGCGCGGCTCCCGCGATAAACGAAAAAAATCCCATCACCCGGAAGGAAAGATGGACATAAACGGGACCGATCGGGTCTCCTGGAATGGAGGTAAAACGCCGTTACCCGGCCGGACAGACGGACACGGCCGGGCCGAGCGGGGTTCTCGTCAGTCCCGGCCAGGCTGGGCGGGGGCGGCCGCGGCCACCGGAGAACTGAACCGGGACCCACGGACAGACGGACAGAAAGGGGACAGATGGAGGTTCGAGTAATTAAAGTAAAACCCCGTTACCCGGACGGACCGGACAGACGGACACATCCGGGCAGAGCGGGGCTCCCGTGATAAACGGAAAAGAAAAAATGAAAAAAAATCCTCTTCGCCCCGATGGACCGAAACTGGAACGCTCGCGGTTCCGCGGCTGAGGTAAAGCCCCGTTACCCGGACAGACCCACGGACACGGCCGGGACATCCCGGGGCTCCGGGACCGAACGACCGAGGCCGCTGCACAGACGGAGCCGCTCGGAGCCCCCGGCGGGGTCCCCGGGGAGCGGGGATCCCCGGTTACCGGTGCCGCCGGCGGACACGGCCCGCGTCTCACCGGAGGTTTCTCTCCTCCACCGGCAGCAGCGCCGGATCGGGCCCTCGGGGCGCCGAGAGCGGCGGCGGGGACCGGACCCCGGAGAACAGCCCCGGGCCCGGGGCCGCCGGCACCGGGGCTCCCGAATAACCGTTGAGCGAAACCACAGGCGGGGGACCGGGCGACCGACCGCCCTTCGTGCTGCCGGCCCGGCCCCGCCGCCCGGGGCTGCGCTCCCGGTTCCCGGTGCGATCCCCGCGGCAGCGGGCCGGGCTCACGGAGCGAGTCGGGGAGAGGAGCCGGACCGGAGCCCCGGGACCGCCGGCGGGACACGGGTGGGCTCGGCCCGGAGGAACGCGGCGGGGGCTCGGCTCCGCTCCGCAGCGGGCGGCGGCTCCGGCGGGGACCGGAGCGGCGGGGCCGGGGAGCGGCCGGGCGGCTCAGGGCTCCCGGCACCGGGGACCCGGCAGCGGCCCCGGGCCCGGGCGGCGTCAGGGGGCCGGGCCGGTTCGCATGGCTGAGCCGGGGCCGGCTCGGCACGGCTCGGTTCGGCCGAGCTGGGCTGGGGGTGGTTGAACCGGGTTCGGTGTTTGACGGCCGGGAGGGGGTCGGCGCGGAGCGGCGGCGGGTGGCGGGGGCAGAGACGGGCCCGGCGGGGCCCAGCTAAGCCCGGCTCGGCGGTGCCGGTGCGGGTGCCCGGTGTGGGTGCGGGTGTCGGTGCCCGGTGCGGGTGCGGGTGTCGGTGCCCGATGTGGGTGCGGGTGCCCGGTGTGGGTGCGGGTGCCCGGTGTGGGTGTGGGTGTCGGTGCCCGGTGTGGGTGCGGGTGCCCGGTGTGGGTGCGGGTGTCGGTGCCCGGTGTGGGTGCGGGTGCCCGGTGTGGGTGCGGGTGTCGGTGCCCGGTGTGGGTGTGGGTGTCGGTGCCCGGTGCGGGTGCGGGTGCCCGGTGTGGGTGCGGGTGTCGGTGCCCGGGGTGGGTGCGGGTGTCGGTGCCCGGGGTGGGTGCGGGTGCCCGGTGTGGGTGCGGGTGTCGGTGCCCGGTGTGGGTGCGGGTGCCCGGTGTGGGTGCCGGTGCCCGGTGTGGGTGCGGGTGTCCCCGGTGGCCGGTGCCGGTGCCGGTGCCCGGTGCCGGTGCTGAGCCCGCTGTCCCCGCAGGTCGGGAGCCGCTGGGGGCCCTGGGGCAGCGCCCGCCCTGCAAGAAGAGGCGCAAGTCGCGGACGGCGTTCACCAACCAGCAGATCTACGAGCTGGAGCAGCGGTTCCTGCGGCAGAAGTACCTGTCCCCGGCGGACCGGGACCAGCTGGCGGCCCGGCTGGCGCTCAGCACGGCCCAGGTCATCACCTGGTTCCAGAACCGCCGCGCCAAGCTCAAGCGGGACCTGGAGGAGCTCCGGGCCGACGTGGCCTCGCTGCAGGCGCTGCCCCCCGCCGCCCTTCAGCAGCTGGCGGCCCTGCCCGACCCCCCGCGCCCCCCCGGCCCCGGCCCCGGCCCCGGCCCCGGCCCCGGCCCCGGCCCCGGCCCCGGCCCCGGCCCCGCGCCGCCGCCGCCGCCGCCGCCCGCCGAGCTCTCGGAGGAGGAGATCGACGTGGGGGACTGAGGCGGCGGGGGGGGGTCCCGGGCCGGCACCGAGACTGATCGAGCCCCCGGGCTGGACGGGGCGGCCGCGCTGCCCCCGTCCCGGGGGGGATTGGTGCAATTTTTCGCTTTTATTTTATTTTTGTTGCCCGTATTTCCTTTTTTTTTTTTTTTTTTTTTTTTTAAAAAAGAAAAATTTTCTTTTCTATCGTGGCTGTCCCGCCGACCCGTCCGCGGCCCCGCCGCCCCGACAGCCGGGGGCACGGAGAGGGGCCCGGCGCGGCCTGCCTGGGTGTAAATATTTGGAATAAAGGCGACACCTTATTAAGTAGCGCGGAGCGGCTCTGGCGGCGGGACGGACGGACAGATGGTGACCCCGCACCCCCCGGACCGTAAGCACACACCGGGGGCTGCTCTGCCGGCTTACCGGGGCCGGGGGGGGACTCGCCAGTGCACCCGAGACCCCCCGGGCCGCCGCCCGGCCCGGCCGTGCCCATCCCCGTGACGCCGGCCCCGCTCCCCGGAGCAGAACGGTCCCTTCGGGGGGTCGGCACGGCCGGGGGGGTCACCCGGTACCGGCCCCGGCTGCGGGGGCGGGGGGGGAGGTGGGGTGTCCATGAGTCCGTGTGTGTGTGTGCTATGTCCGTGTCTCCAGCCCCACGCGCGCACACTCATGACGGCTGCAGGGGGGCGCAGGACCCCCGGGAGGAGGTGTGGGGGGGGGAAACTTCGGGGACGAGGGGCAGCGCCGGTCCTCCCGTGACGGATCCACTCCGGCGGCGCCTCCCCCGCCGCTGCCCCACGCATGACCCGAGTGGGGCCGGAGCAGCGCCGGGTGTCGGCACCTCGCTCCCCTTCCTTCCCCCTCGGCCTCTCTCGCACCGAAGTCCACACTGCCCCTCGTGACGTCATGCCCCGGTGACGTCACCACGCGAAGCGGTGTGACGAGCGAGAGCGGCTCCGGCCTCGCCCCAGAGGGAGCGGGGGGAGCCCGGGGGGGTGATGTCTCAGCCCCCAACCCCCCCTCCGATGAGCAGCTCCACAGCGGACAGCCCCCCCCCCCGCCCGGGGCCGCAGGGCACGGCCCACGCGAGGCGGCCGGAGGCCGCGGGGTGTGTGGGGGGGTCGGCGGGGGCCCCCCGGGGCCGCTGTCACCGCAGCTATGCGCGACGCGGCTGCGAGCCCCGCCAGCATCCATATGAGCCCGCGCTGATCTAATTACGCCGGTGCGAAGTTCCGAAGGCAGAGCCCCCCCCCCCCCCCCCCCCCCGGTATTTTCTCCGGTTTTAATTGCATTGTCCCGCCCCTCCCCCAGCGCCGCAGCCGCCCGGCCGAGGGGGGGGAGGGGGAGAAATGAGATTTCGTCTGAAAGTGCCTTTGAGCATCCCCCGGGGGGAATTGCTTTTAATTTGACAGGTAGGAGCGGCCCCGGGGCCGACACGCGTGGGGCGTGCGCGGCTGCCGCGGCCCGAGTCCCCCCCCGCCAAGCAGGGGGGCGATCCGGGGTGCACGGTGAGGGGCTGGGGGTGCAGAGACCCCACGGGCAGGAACAGACACCCCGGGCGGGGGGGGGCAGAGATTGGGGGGGGGGGGCGGGGATCCCCGGGGCTGCCCCACCCCGGCACCCCCCGCGCTCCGGAGCCCCGGCCTGGCACCCACCCTTTCCCCGGGGTGCTGCACGCGCGGCCGTGGGGTTCCCACCCAGGATCAGGGCGGAGGGGGGGGGGGCTCCCGGGCTGTGCCCCCCTCCGGCTGGCCCCAAAAACCCCAGCCCCCCCCCGCGACAGCAGCTCCCACGGCCCCCCGTGGTGGCCCCGCGGCCGTGTCACCCCCAGCTCGGTCCTGGCAGAGCACAGCGTGGGGCCGCGGGAGCACCCTCCAGGCCCCTCCAGCGCACACACCCACGCACACGTGTGAGCGTGCACACGCGTGTGTCCCGCGGGGGGGACGGGGCCAGCCCCGGAGATGAGATCACGGCGGCAGCTCGTTCCCATCGGGCTGACGGAGGCAGCAGCTGGCGGGATTCCCCCCCCCCCCCCCCCCCCCCGCCCCGACCCCCCGCCCCGCCGCGAGCCCGTGGGGCAGCGTGGGGCGAGATGGCTCGGAGGAGGGGGGGGGGGCTCAGAGCCCGCACCGGCCACTCAGCACCGGGAGCTCAGCACCTCCGCCGCGGCCTCGGGGCTGCCCCCCCGGCCCAGCACCCACCGTGGCCGCCTGTCCCCTCCCCCCGCCGCCGCTCCCCGGGGACCCCCGGCCCGGCCGTGCCCACCCCCGCGGCCTCGGGGCGCTGGCAGGCTCGCCCCTCCCCACCCCCCCCGCCCCCCGCTCGTCTTTTCCTCTTCCAATTTTCCGGATGATTAACTCGGCTGCTGTTTCCTGACAACCTCTGCTGTTGGTATTAATTTCTTTTAACTAGTGATTAATTACTCGCTGTCTCCCGCGCTCCTTCTCCCTGTTGCCTATTTGCATATTAATCAAATTCTACTTGATGGCCTGCCTGTCACCTCCCCACCCCCGCCACTCCCGGCACCTGCAAATGACATTACCGGGGGGCTCTGCCCCCCCCCCCCCCCCCCGGGCCTGCGGCCATCACCGCCGCCTCGGGGCTGGCCCAGCCCCGCGGCCGCCGGTACCGGGGCGGGGGCGGGGGGGGGGGCGGTACCAGAACTCGATGGCAGCCCCCGGAGCAGCGTGTCGGTCCCACCCCCATCTGGAAACAGCCCCCCACCCAGGACCAGCCGCCCCTTGAACCCTCACGGCAGAGCCCGGGGAGGGGGAAGGCAGGACAGACAGCAGAAAGGAAGGACAGACACCGGCACTGGCTCTCAGTTTTATTAAGAACCCCAAATTTGGTTACAAACCCCAAATTGGGTACAAATCGCAGCCCGCGCCCAGGGGAGCGGCCATGCCAGGGCACAGGCCTGTGCCCCCCCCCTCCAAGCACTGGCCCCCCCGGGTGGGCTCCAGCCCCAGGGGACCCAGCGCAGGCAGGACCCCCCCCCCCATCAGCGAGGTCCGCACCCGGGGGGGGCAGCAGCAGAGCCCCCCCAGAAGGCACTGGGTGGGACCCCCACCCGTGGGGCCCCAACAGAGGCAGTGGGGGGGGGACACAGGACGCACAGGCTCAGCCCCCTGCCCAGTCCCTGGCAGGGAGCACAGGAGGTCTCTAAGGTCAGACACCCCCCCCCCCTTCCCTGGGCAGCAAAGCCCGGAGGCACCACTCAGGTCCCAGGCCCTGGGGAGGGGTCAGAGCAGGCTGGGGGGGGTCTGGCTCTGCTGCTGTAAGCTCAGGAGACCCCCCCTTGCCCGGCTACAGGAGCCCCCCAGGGAGGGCACCCACCTCACTGCAGGGCTTGGGGTGCTGTCAGTGGGAGGGGGTGGCGTGGGAGGGGTGCTTGAGCTGCAGCACCAGTCTGTTCCCCTCCACCTCAGCATCCTGGGGGGGTGGGGGGGGGAAGAAAAAAAAAAAATGAAGGGGGGGATGATAGAAAAAGGGAGAGGGGGGGGAAGAAGGGGGAAGCTGGCAGCAGTGCCCCCACCAGGGCAGGGCTGAGGGCAGGAGGGGCCCAAGCCAGACCCCCTCATCCAGCCCTGAGCAGCTGGGGGGGCCCCCGGCGCAGTGACCCCCACCCCCAGCTCACCTGCATGGCCGCGTAGGCCGCTTCCGCCGCCTTCTTCCGCGTGTAGTTGATGAAGGCGCAGCGCCGCTCCGGCAGCAGCCGGATGAAGCGGATCTCCCCAAACCTGGGGGGAAGGGGCGAAGCATTAGAACCCACCCATCCCTTGCCCCCCCCCCCGCCCCATGCCTCCCTCACATGGCCCACACCCCAGGCCAGGAGCACCGGGGAACGGGGACGGGAATGGGGGGGCACTGGGACGGTGATGTGGGGCCGGGGGGGGCACTGGGACGGTGATGTGGGGCCGGGGGGGGCACTGGGACGGTGATGTGGGGCCGGGGGGGGGCACTGGGATGGTGATGTGGGGCCGGGGGGGGGCACTGGGACGGTGATGTGGGGCCGGGGGGGGCACTGGGACGGTGATGTGGGGCCGGGGGGGCACTGGGACGGTGATGTGGGGCCGGGGGGGGGCACTGGGACGGGCACTGGGACGGTGATGTGGGGCCGGGGGGGGCACTGGGACGGTGATGTGGGGCCGGGGGGGGCACTGGGACGGGCACTGGGACGGTGATGTGGGGCCAGGGGGGCACTGGGATGGTGATGTGGGGCCGGGGGGGGCACTGGGACGGTGATGTGGGGCCGGGGGGGGGCACTGGGACGGTGATGTGGGGCCAGGGGGGGCACTGGGACGGTGATGTGGGGCCGGGGGGGCACTGGGACGGTGATGTGGGGCCGGGGGGGGCACTGGGACGGTGATGTGGGGCCGGGGGGGCACTGGGACGGTGATGTGGGGCCGGGGGGGCCACTGGGACGGGCACTGGGACGGTGATGTGGGGCCAGGGGGGCACTGGGACGGTGATGTGGGGCCAGGTGGGGGCACTGGGACGGTGATGTGGGGCCAGTGGGGGGCACTGGGACGGTGATGTGGGGCCGGGGGGGCACTGGGACGGTGATGTGGGGCCGGGGGGGGCACTGGGACGGTGATGTGGGGCCGGGGGGGGCACTGGGACGGTGATGTGGGGCCGGGGGGGGGCACTGGGACGGTGATGTGGGGCCGGGGGGGGCACTGGGACGGTGATGTGGGGCCGGGGGGGGGCACTGGGATGGTGATGTGGGGCCGGGGGGGGGCACTGGGACGGTGATGTGGGGACGGGGGGGGCACTGGGACGGTGATGTGGGGCCGGGGGGGCACTGGGACGGTGATGTGGGGCCGGGGGGGCACTGGGACGGGCACTGGGACGGTGATGTGGGGCCGGGGGGGGCACTGGGACGGTGATGTGGGGCCGGGGGGGCACTGGGACGGTGATGTGGGGCCGGGGGGGGGCACTGGGACGGGCACTGGGACGGTGATGTGGGGCCGGGGGGGGCACTGGGACGGTGATGTGGGGCCGGGGGGGGCACTGGGACGGGCACTGGGACGGTGATGTGGGGCCAGGGGGGCACTGGGATGGTGATGTGGGGCCGGGGGGGGGCACTGGGACGGTGATGTGGGGCCGGGGGGGGGCACTGGGACGGTGATGTGGGGCCGGGGGGGGGCACTGGGACGGTGATGTGGGGCCGGGGGGGCACTGGGACGGTGATGTGGGGCCGGGGGGGGCACTGGGACGGTGATGTGGGGCCGGGGGGGCACTGGGACGGTGATGTGGGGCCGGGGGGGCCACTGGGACGGGCACTGGGACGGTGATGTGGGGCCAGGGGGGCACTGGGACGGTGATGTGGGGCCAGTGGGGGGCACTGGGACGGTGATGTGGGGCCGGGGGGGCACTGGGACGGTGATGTGGGGCCGGGGGGACACTGGGGGGCTCAGCACACAAGCACTCACCGGCCGAAGGAGCTCTGCAGCACCTTCTCACTGATCCTGGGGGTGATGTTCCCCACCCAGAGGGGGTAGCAGTCCCTGCCAAACCGCACCGCTGTCACCGGTGTCACCTCCAGCCCCTCCCAGCAGCCCAGGGGGAGCTGCGGGACCCACCACCCCCCCCCAGTCAGCACCAGTCACCGGCCCCACCTGGCGGGATGGGTTGGGGGCAGCGTCTGCTGGCTACTGGCCACGGGCCGGCCCTGGCCTCGCGCCTGGCTGCGGGAGCTCCCGACGGTCACAAAGCCGCCCGTGGCAGCGTCCTGGCAGCTCCCGCGCGCCCACTCCCCTGCCGGAATGAGGGAGAGGGGGGGCTCCACCGGCTGCACGGCGCAGCACAGCACTCCCTGATGTCCCCCCAACCCCACCCTGAGACCCCAGCCCCCCCCCCCGGCTGCCAGCTCCGAAGCCAAACCCCCCACCGCGGTCCCTTACCGGGGGGAGGCAGCGGTGGCTCCCCGGCCTCCAGCGGGGACGGGGACATGGGGACCCCCCCGGGGCTGCTCCGGCCGTGGGTGCTGCGCTGCTGCAAGGTGGGGGGAGAGGAGGTGAGGCCCCGCGGGGGTGGCGGGTGGGTGGGGGCCTGGGGGGGCCAGGGACTCACCCGCAGCAGAGCCCGGCAAGCCTCGAGCTGGGCGGCCGCGTCGGCGTCGGCGCCGTCCAGGCGCAGCAGCTCCTCGAAGGTGCTGGCGGCCTCGGCGTAGCGCTGGGGCCCGGCACAGAGGGGGCTCAGCTCCGGCTGCCGCAGCACCCCATAACCCCCCCATATCCCCCCCACCCCACCCCGGTACCTCCAGCCCCCGCAGCGCCTTGCCCTTGCGGAAAAAGCCTTTGGGCCAGCCGGGCTGGAGCCCCAGCGACACCAGCGCGTCCCGCAGAGCCTCCTCGTAGCGCCGCAGCTTCTCGTAGCAGTAGGAGCGGTTCCCAAACAGCCTGGGGGGAGATTGGGGGGGGGGGGGGGGTGTCGCTGCTGGCCAGGGCCCGCAGCCCCCCAGGAACGCTGCTCCCCGGCCCCGTCGCCCACCGGTGCTCCCTGGGGTTCAGCTTCACGGCCTCGGTGAAAGCCTGCACCGCCTCGGCGTAGCGGCCCTTCTGGGCAGCTTCGTTGCCGCGACCTGTGGGGAAAGTGTTGCTCGCTGCTGACCACTGACCCCCCCCCCCAGTAAACACCAGTCACCAGAGCTATGCTCCCCCCACCTGCAGCGGGGACACGGGGAGCACAAAACAGAGAATCGCCTTCCCGTCACCCAGCCTTGAAGGAAAGACACTCCAGGGACAACCTGGATCCCTGCCGGCGGGGGGGCCTTGGCCCAAACCCCCCCGCATGTCCCCCCCCCCCTTCCCTCGCTGCCCGGGGGGGCACTGACCTGCGAGAATCAGGCTCTGCTGCACCACGCTCACGTCCGGGGGCACAGCAGGCTGGGGCGGGGGCACCTGCGGGGGGGGGCAGGCAGGGCAGCTTGGGTTTGGCTGCCCGGGGGGGGGCAGGTCCCCCTCCCCGGGGCCCCGGCTCACCTTCCCCGGTGCCCTCTTGCTCGGCTCCGCAGTGCCCGTCCTGGCCGGTTTCTCCTTGGCGGGGGCCGGCAGCCTCACCCCCGCTTTCTGCCGGGCTTTGAAGACGAAGGTGCAGCTCAAGTCCAGCTCGTCCTGGGGGAGGGAGGGTGGGCGAGGGCGGGCAGAGCCCCGGGCCTGGCCGTGGGGCACCCCTGGGCCCAGCCGTGGGGCACCCCCACGCCAGGAGCCCTCACCTCCATCTCCTCCACCCTGGCCTCCCGGCCGCCTCCCTCCACTCCCGAGGGATCCCGGGGTCCTGCAGAGCGGCTGGGGCCCGGCCAGCCCTCCCCCTCCTCAGCATTGCTGTTTTGGGGGTGCCCAGCGCCCGCAGGGCTGCGCAGGGACGAGGGGCTCTGGAAGGAGAGGGCAGGGGTGAGACGGCAGCCGGGGCAGCGGGTGTGGCCCACCCCCCTCCCCACCCCATCCCGCTTCCAGGACCCCCCGGGGGCGGCAGGGCCCGGCTGCCGCAGCCCCCCCCCCCCCCCCCCCGCCCCGGCCAGGCAGGGGCTGGCAGTTGCTCACCGACTCGGTCTCCTGCTTGTTTATCAGCTCCTGTCCTAATTTCTCACGTTTTTTCCGCTCTTTTTGCTTCTGGAAATCAGGAGAGCAAGCCGTGAGCGGCCCCACGCCGCAGCTCTGCCTCGGCGCTGCTGGGGGGGGTGGGAGCAAACCCCCAGCATGTGCCCCCCTCTCGGGGTAACGGCGAGGTGAGCTGGCAGGGCAACCCCCCCCCCCCCCGGGGCACACCCACCTTCCTCTTCAGTTTCTTCTTCTCCGCCTTCCTCTTCATCCGCTCCTCCTCTGCCACCAGCTCCCGCGCGTTCTGCTCGGCTTCCTGGGGGGGAGCGACGCCGTGAGCGCCGGTGCCCGGCACTGTGCCGCGGCTGGGAGCACTGCCAGCCCCCCGCCCAGCCAGCCCCCCGCCCAGCCAGCCCCCCCAGCCCGTGCCGCCAGCCCCCCCCCAGCCCGTGCCGCCAGCCCCCACCACTCCCCCAAAAACGGAGGACAAGAGGGAGCAGAGGACGCGATGCAGCTGTGGAGGGGGCAGGGACAGGGGCAATTTCGGGCACGGAGGGGGGCCCGTTTTGGGCAGGGGGGGTTGCCCCTCACCTCGGCCGTCAGCGGGTGCCCCCAGGGCGCGGGCAGCCGCTGCAGCTTCCCCTGGAGCGCGCTGTCGGGGGGCCGGGCGGGGGGCAGCTCGGTGCACAGGAAGGATTTCTTGAACCCGCAGAAGTTGTAGGGGGGGCCGCTGTCCTCGCTGGAAACCTCCCACGGCTGCCCGAGGGCGACCCGCTCTTCCTCCTCCTCCTCCTCCTCCTCCTCCTCGCTGGACTCCCGCACCCGGCCGGGGCAGTGCCAGGTGCCCGGGACTGCGCAGGGAGAAGCGGGGGCCGGTCAGCGGAACCCCGCGCCCCGGCCCCGCCGGCCGCCCCCCCCGCGCCCCCGACTCACCGCGGCCGAGGGCGCCCGGGGCCCCGGGCACTGCCCACATCGCGCTGCGGTTCCCCTGGCAGGAGGCGGACGGCGGCGGCACCGGGACCTGCGGCACCGGGAGCTGCGGCGGCGGCACCAGGACCTGCGGCGGCACCGGGAGCTGCGGCGGCACCGGGCCGGGCCCCCCCGGGGCTCCAGCCACCCCCCGCCGCCGGTTCCCACGTACCTGCCGCCGGCTGCGGTCGGTCTCAGCGGGGCCGGGCTGGCAGTGCCGGGGACAGAACGGCGCTGCGGGGAGCGGAGCCGGCCCTGAGCCGTCGGAAACGAAACCGAAACGAAACCGAAACGCGGCGGCGGCGGGGCGGCCCCGGGCTCCTCCCCGCCGCCGCCCCCCGGCCCCGGGCTCCTCCCCGCCGCCGCCCCCCCGGCCCCGGGCTCCTCCCCGCCGCCGCCCCCCCGGCCCCGGTTCCCCCCCGAGACCCTCGAGCCCCGGTCCCGGGCCCCTCCGAGCCCCGGCAGGCCGGCTCGCAGCGCGGCTCCCGCCGCCCCGGGACCCCCCCCGGCCCGTACCGCCGCTCCAGCCGCCGGGGCCGGGCACGCAGCCCCAGGGGCAGGCGGGGGGCGGGGCCCCGGTCCCGGGGGGGTCCGGTCCCCGCGTCCCGCCCGCGGCCCGCATGTTGCCGGGGAGCGCGGCTGGAGGCGCACCGGAAGCGGGGCGCGGCGCCGACCGGAAGCGGGGCTTGAGGCTGCCCGGCCGCCATGTTGGGTGCGGGCAGGACGGCGGCCCGTGAGGCCCGCGCCGGGCGGCACCGGGGCTCCGCGGCGCTTTGCCGCCGTCCCCGCCTCCCCGCGCCGGGCGCGGCGGCGCCGTCCGCTCCCAGCCCCGCCCGGTCCCCCGGGTTTAACGCTGGCGAGGCCTGAGCCCCCGGGGGCGGCCCAGCATGGAGGACGGCAGCCCTGAGCGTGGCGGCGCAGAGCCCCGCCTGCAGGTGAGGCCCGGGCCGGACGGGGAGACCCCCGGGCTCTGCCCTTCACCGGGGACACTGGCTGGGCCCGGTGCCACCGGCCCCGGGCCCGCCGCCGCTCCCGCCGTCTCCTTGACAACGACCCCCGCCCCCCGGGGGGGCGTGGTCGGTTGAGGGGGGGGGGGGGGGTTTGTTGAAAGGGCGTCGGCTGTTGGAGGGGGCGTGGCCACGGGTGGGGCGACCCCGCGGTGGCGGGGGGCGGAGCCAGCTCGACCAGAAACCACGCCCCCTCCCCGCAGTAGCCCCGCCCCTTCCCCCGGTTAACCCCATATCGCCCAGTGCCCAGCCCGGGGGGGCTGGAGGGGAAACCCTGACGGGTCTGGCGGCGCGACGGGTGACACAGTGCTGCCTAATTAAGGTGTAATTAACGCCTAACGAGCCGCCTGCACCCGGCGGGAGCAGCCTGTGCCGGGAGGGGCGGGGGGCTCCCCGGGGTGCCCGTGGGCGGGGACGGCCCCCCACGTTGCCCCACCCTGCAGGCAGCAGCTCCCTGGGGGGCCTGTCCCGCTCCTTGCCCGTGGCCGAGGCCACGCTGCGCGGCTGCACCGGCCCACGCCGACAGCAACGACAGCAGCGAGGATGAGGAGGAGGAAGCGCCGTCCTTCCTGGCCCCGCTGGAGCAGAGCCTCCCGGGGCTGCGCCACTGCCTCGGCGTCTGGTGGGACCCCCGCAGCCAAACCTTCCGGGCACACGCGCGGCCCCCGCCCGGCACCGGCACCTTCTCCTACCACCCCGTCCACCCGCGCCTGGCCGAGCGCGCTGCCGCCCTGCACGCCCTGCTGCGGCACCGCCACCGCCTCCGCCTCACCCGCCGCTGCGGCCGCTGGCTGAGAGCCGCCTCCCGCCTCCTCCGCCGGTTCCTGGCGCTGCCGGAGCCACCGGCGGGACAACCGGGGGCCGCCCCGCCGCTGCGGGACCTGTGCCGGGAGCTGCGGGCCCAGGCCGGGCGCTGGGGCCGGCTGCGCGGGTGCGAGGCGCCGGCGCGCGTGCGGCGGGCGCTGCTGCCGCCGGCGCTGCACGCGGCACGGCTGGCCGAGCGGCATGCCGAGGCGCGGCTGCGGGCGCTGGGGCACGGACCCCCCGCCCCGGCGCTGCTCTGCGACCTCTTCCAGGGGCTGGAGATCTACAACCAGGCGCTGGGGCTCCTAGAGCCGGGCGTCGCCCGACGCTTGCCCAGCGGTGGCCACGGGGCCGCCGGCGACAGCCCCCGCGCCTTCCCCGCGGGCAGGGTGCTGGGGATACTGGCGGCCGAGCGGGGCCGGCTGGCGGCCGAGCGGCTCCGGCCCTTCCTGCAGCCGCGGGACGGCGGTGACGGGGCTGCGGGCTGGGAGGACGCCGCGGTGCCTTGGCCCCCGGAGCGCGGTGCAGCGGGAAGCTCGGGACAGGAGGAGCCGCCGGGCTTGGCGGGGGAGCTGCGGGCGCTGTGCAGGGAGGACGAGGAGCTGATGGGCCTCATCCTGGGGGTGCTGGTGGCTTCCACCGACACCCTCTGGCACTGTGGTGTCCGCGGAACCAAGCTGGAGAAGCCGGTGGCGGCGGAGAGCCCGGACACGGGCGCCGCGGGCCGGACGTCGTGCCGTGCGCCGGCCGCCGAGGCCCTGCACGCCCAGTACCGCCCGCTCTTCTGGGGGGCTGCTGGTGCCGCACTGGGGCACAGCCTGGGGGTGCCACACTGCGGGACGGGCACGGCAGCCGCGTGGGAGCTGAGCCGCGCTCTCGCCCAGGGTAGGTGGGGGGGGGGCTGGGGTGTGCGTGGCGGGGGGTCCCCGGCATCCCCGGGGTGCGCTGCCCTCACGCCCTGTCCCCCCCGCAGCCCGCGTCCCCCAGGAGTGTGAGGAGGAGCTGGGGGGGCTCTGCCTGCGCCTGCTCTGCCGCGGCGTCCTCCGGAGCTGGGACAGAGGTGTGGGGTGTGGGGTGTGGGGTGCAGGTGGGAGGCGGGTACAGGGTGCAGGGTACGGGGTGCAGGGTGTGGGATGTGGGGTGCAGTCGGGAGGGGGGTACAGGGTGCAGGGTGTGGGGTGCGAGGTGGGTGGTGTGGGTGGGAGGGGGGTGCAGGTTGTGGGGTACAGATCTGGGGGTGCAGGGTGGCGGGTGGGAGGGGGGTGCAGGGTATGGGGTGCAGAGTGGGGGGTGCAGGGCGCAGGGTATGGGGTGCCAGGTACGGGGTGTGGGCTGTGGGTGGGAGTGCAGGACACAGGGTGCAGGGTGTGGGGTGCAGGTGGGATGGGGGTGCAGGGCTGCTGACCGGTGTGTGTGTGTCCCCCCCCAACTCCCCCCAGATTTCACCCGCGCCCTGGGCTCGGGTCTGTCCGTGCCGGGCTCGGGGGAGCCGATGCCGGCGGCAGGATGGGTGCGGAGCCGGCCGGCGCTCAGCCTGCAGCGGCTCTACCCGGCGCTGGCCTTCGCCCTGCGCTGCCTGCGGGCCCTGCCCGCCTGCCCGCCCGGTGAGTGGGGGTCTGGGGAGGGGGGACACGCACACAGGCACCCCGGGGGGGGTCCCGGGGAACCTCTCGTCACCCCCTGCCCCCCCCAGGCCGCCCTCCCTGCCTGCGCCTGCAGGTGCTGGGCTGCTGCCTGGCCACGGCGCAGGCGGCCGGCTCCTGGCTGGTGGGCACAGCCCGCCGGTACCTGGCGGCCCGGGCGCTGCCCCAGCTCCTGCTCCTCACCCAGGGGGACCTGCAGGTACGGGGGGACGGGGCACCCCGGGGCAGCCCCCCTCCCTGCAGAGGCTGGGCTGGGGGACGGGCTGTGGGGCTGGGGCTGGCTGGAGGGCTGGGGCTGGAGCTGGCCGTGGGGCTGGCAACTGGCTGTGGGGTTGGCCATGGGGCTAGGGGCTGGCTGTGGGGCTGGTTGTGGGGCTGGGGACTGGCTGTGGGGCTGGCTATGGGGCCAGGGCTGGCTGTGGGACTGGTTCTGGGGCTGGCTGTAGGATTGGGGGCTGGAGCTGGCTGTAGGGCTGGCCGTGGGGCTGGCCGTGGGGCTGGCCACTGGGCAGGATTCGTCTCACCCCTCTCCCCTCCAGCTGCTGAGGACAGAGACAGACGCGCTGGTGGTGCTGGTGAACGGGATCTTCCCGGGGCCCGGGGCCGCCCCCCCGGCGCTGCCCCCCACCCCACCGTCCCTGCAGGAGCACCAGCTGTGCCAGCAGATCCGCTCCACGGCCACCAGCATCCAGGTACAGCCCCACCGCGGCCACCGGGACCTCCGGCAGCCGGGCCGGGCCGGGGGGGTCCCGGTGGTTCTGCTCCGGGTGGGCACAGCGCAGGGGAACTGGGGGGGGGGGGGGCCGCTGTGCCAGCCTGGCTCTGCCCCCCAGCTCTTCTCGGGGGACGTGCTGAGGATGTTCTCCGCGGACTGCAAGCGGCTGTCAGCGGAGATCTTCGACCAGACCATGCCGCTGGGCAAGCACTGGAGGGGCGGCCCCCGCGCCGGTGGGTGCTGCGGGGGGGGGGGGGGGGGTGTCTCCGTGGTGCCAGGCGGGGCGGCAGGCAGGGTGTCACCCCCCCACCTCGCCCCCCGCAGAGCCTCCCCGTTCCCCCAGTGCGTACGCGGCGGCGGCGGCGCAGGCGGTGCTGGGCAGGGTGCTGCAGGTCGCCTGGCTCCTGCCCCGCGACGCCCAGGCGCCCGCCCTGGCCCAGGCGACCACGGCGTTCCTGGAGGCCTGGATGGATCACATCCTGACCCGCAGGATCAAGTTCAGGTAGCGGGACGGCGGCGGGGCCGGTAATGCCGGGGGGGGGGGGGGTTTGGGCTAACGGTGATCCCCCCCCCCCCGGGTCTCCGAAGCTTGCAGGGAGCCTTGCAGCTGCGTCAGGACTTCGAGCTGGTGCGGGAGCTGGTGGGCTCCGAGCGCTCCGGGCTGGACCCCGAAACCCGTCAGGCCCTGCTCGCCCTCCGCGTCTTCCAGCAGATGGATGGGGCCATCCTCTGCCTCCTGCAGCAGCCCGCCGGGGGGGCCGGGGGGGCCCCCCGCCCCTGGCGCTCCCTGCGCCGCTGCTGTGAGTCACCGGCGGGGCGGGGAGGGGGACACACGCACAGGCGGGGATGTTGGGGAGCGCGGGGCGAGAGCCACCTTTTGGGGCGACCCCCCCCCCCCCTCCCCGCCGGCGGCCCCGTTATGCCCCCCCCCCCCCGACTCCCCCCTCCTCTCCCCGTCCAGGCTCGGACACCGGTGCCCGCCCGCAGGAGCCGAGCGCGGGCAGCCCGGGGGCGCCGGCGGCAGCGGGGACCCCCCCAGCCGGTGCCGCGGAGCCGGCGCGGTTGCCGGGGGGTGCCGTCCCCCGGTGCTCCGCGCCGGGGGGGCCGCAGCGGTGGCTGGAGCTGCGGCTGCGCCGGTCCCGGCGCTGGCGGGTGCCGTGTGCCGGCGGCGTCCCCGACGCCTGACCCTGCGCCGCGGCAATAAACCGGCGGAACCGGGATCCCCGTTAATCATCTGCCTCCACCCCCCCCCCCCCCGCACCCCAAAACCCCGCGGGGGGGGGGGGGGCGGATCCGGGAGCCGCTCCCGCCGGCGGCACGCTCGAACCGGGGCCGGGTCCCCGGGCGGGCTCTGCCCGCTCCCCGACCCTCCTCGACGGGGACGCCGGGGATACCGGAGCCCCCGGTGTGACTACGGTTCCCATGATGCCGCCGGCCCCGGTCACTTCCGCCGCGGGGCGGGGTCGGGCCGAGCCGAGCGCCCCTTCCCCGGTCCCGGTCCCGGTCCCGGTGCGGCCCCGGTGCCGCCCGCCATGGCCGCCCCCGCCGCCGAGCTGGGCGCCGCCGACCGCGGCCCCTTCGCCACGGCAAGTAACGGCCCCGGGGTGGGACCGGGCCGAGCGACCCCCCCGTCCCTAACACCCCCCCCCCCACACCTTTTCCCGGTTGGAACGGGGACCGGGCCGAGGCGGCACCGACGGGAACTGGGGGGGGTGGGGGGGGGGAGTCGGGGGTCCCTGCGGGGCAGAGGGGGGGGTCCCGTGGGAGGCTGGGGGGGCACTTGGAGGGGGGTTGTCCCAGGGAAATTGGGGGGGGCACGTGGCAGAGGTCCCTTGGGGGTCCCGGGGGAGGCTGGGGGTGCACGGGGGTCCCAGGAGGTCACAGGGTGCATGGTGGGGGGCTCTGGGGGAGGCTGGGGGGGTGCACGGGGGTCCCAGGAGGTCACAGGGTGCATGGTGGGGGAGGTTGGGGGAGCACTTCCGGGGGGGGGGGGGGGAGGAATCCATGTGGGTCCCAGGGAGGTTAGGGGTCCATGGGGGTCCCAGGGGAGGCTGGGGGGTGCATGGGGGTCCCAGGAGGTCACAGGGTACGTGGTGGGGGGCTCCGGGGGAGGCTGGGGGTGCACGGGGGTCCCAGGAGGTCACAGGGTGCATGGGGGTCCCAGGGGAGGGTGGAGGGGTGCACGGGGGTTCTAGGAGGTCACAGGGTGCATGGGGGGGGCTCTGGGGGAGGCTGGGGGGGTGCACGGGGGTCCCAGGAGGTCACAGGGTGCATGGGGGTCCCAGGGGAGGCTGGGGGGTGCACGGGGGTCCCAGTATGTCATGGGGTGCATGGGGGTCCCGGGGGAGGCTGGGGGGTGCATGGGGGTCCCAGTATGTCACAGGGTATGTGGTGGGGGGCTCCGGGGGAGGCTGGGGGGTGCACGGGGGTCCCAGGAGGTCACAGGGTACATGGTGGGGGGTGCATGGGGGTCCCAGGGGAGGCTGGAGGGGTGCACGGGGGTTCTAGGAGGTCACAGGGTACGTGTGGGGGGCTCTGGGGGAGGCTGGGGTGTGCACGGGGGTCCCAGTACGTCACAGGGTGCACGGTGCGGGGTCCAAGGGGGTCCCGGGTCGTGTCGCGGTGCCCCGGTGCGCGGTGACAGTGCCCACGGTGCGCAGGGCCCCTGCCCGGCGGCTGCGGAGGAAGAGGAGGATGGGGACGAGGAGCTGCTGGGGGCCGGGGGTCCCCGCACCTGGACCCCCCAGGAGAAGCTGCTGCACGAGGCGCGGCTGAAGGCCAAGGCCAAGCGGCGGCTGCGGCGCACGTCGTCCCGGGACTCGGCCCGCGAGTCGCTCTCCGAGGGCGCCGAGCCCGGCCCCGAGCCCGGCAGCCCCAAGGGCCGGGCCCACGACCGCCGCTCCCGCACGGGCAAGGGCCGCGGGCTGCCCAAGAAAGGTGAGGGGCGGCAGCGCCCGCCCGTGGGGCTGGGACCCCCACCCCGTGTCCCCCGTGGGGCTGGGACCCTGCCTGACCCCCGCCCCGTGTCCCCCGTGGGGCTGGGTCCCTGCCTGACCCCCGCCCCGTGTCCCCCGTGGGGCTGGGACCCTGCCTGACCCCCACCCCGTGTCCCCCGTGGGGCTGGGAGCCTGCCTGACCCCCACCCCGTGTCCCCCGTGGGGCTGGGACCCCTCCTGCATCCCCAGTGCTGCTGGTCTCCCCCCAGCCCCAGGCTGAGTCCCTACCTGGGGGGGGGGGGGGCCCACCAGGGGCCTCGGTGCCCCCCCGGCGCTGAGCCCCCCCGCTCACCCCACGTGTGCCCGGTGCAGGTGGGGCTGGGGGCAAGGGTGTGTGGGGTGCCCCCGGCGTGGTCTACGGCTACCAGGAGCCCGACGCTCGTGACCCCAACTATGACGAGGTGGCGCAGGTATGGCCTCAGCCCCCCCCCCCCAGGCCCCCCCATTTCACGGGCAGCCCCCGCGGGGGTCCGGCCGGGGTGGGCGGCGGCGGCATCGTCCCGTCCCCGCAGGGTGACACCGTCTACGCCACCGTGGTGCCCGAGCTGGAGGAGGGGGAGCTGGAGAAGAACGTGCAGCCCATGGTGCTGGAGTACTTCGAGCACGGGGACACCAGCGAGGTCATGGTGCGTGGGGGGGGGGGGGCTGGGGTCCTCGGGGAGGGGGCAGCGGCCCCTGGGGGATGAGGAGCCCCGGGGATGGGGCAGGGTCCCCTGGGGAGGGGGGGTCCCTTGGGGTGGGGACCTTCGGGGGATTCCTTGGGGAGGGGGAGTGTCTCTGGGGGAGGGGACAGGGACCCCTCGGTGACAAGGGTTCTCGGAGATGGGGCAGGGTCCCTTCATGTGGGAGGGGGGGCTGCTGCTAGTGGGGGACCCTTAAGGAAGGGGCAGGGTCCCCTGGGGAGGGGGGTCTCCTGGGGGTGGGACCTTCGTGGGGGTGAGGTGGAGAGAAAGGGTTAGGGTTAGGGGGCAGTGGCCCCTTGGTGACAGCGAGCTGTGGGGATGGGGCAGGGTCTCCTGGGGAGGGGGGTCTCCTGGGGGTGGGGACCTTCGTGGGGGTGAGGCGGAGAGAGAGGGGGTTCCTCAGGGAGGGGGGCGGCGAGCCGCGGGGATGGGTCCCCCCTTGGGGGGGGTCTGGGCAGCCCCGGGGTGGTGGGGCAGGGTCCCGGGGGAGCCAAAGTGGGGGGGTGTGGCGGTGGGAGGGTGGGGAGGGGGGGTGTGCCCCCCCCCGCGGGGGCGGCTGGCGGGGGGGTGACGTGCCGGGCGCAGGAGCTGCTGCGGGGGCTGAACCTGGGCGGGCGCCGGCACGCGGTGCCCGCGCTGGCCGTGGCGCTGGCGCTGGAGGGGAAGGCCAGCCACCGCGAGCTGACCTCCCGCCTGCTCGCCGACCTGGTGGGACGCGTCCTCGCCCCCGAGGACATCGCCTGCGCCTTCGACGAGATGCTGCGGGACCTGCCCGACCTCATCCTCGACACCCCCGAGGCCCCCCAGGTGCTGGCGGGTGGGGGGGGGGGGGCTGTGGCTGTGCCGGGGGGATGCGACCACGCTGGGGGGGGGGGATGCTCTGAAGGGACATGGATGTGAGGGGGGGGCCCATGGCTCTGATGGGGGATGCTCTGAAGGGCCGTGGCTGTGGGGGGGGGTCGTGGCTGTGCAGGGGGCTGCTCAGAGGGAACACGGCTGTGCTAGGGGGGTCCATGGCCATGCTGGGGGGGCTGTGGCTGTGCTGGGGGGGCCATGGCTGTGATGGGGGGTGCTCCGAGGGGACACGGCTGTGGGGGGGCCGTGGCTGTGATGGGGGGTGCTCCGAGGGGACACGGCTGTGGGGGGGCCGTGGCCATGCTGGGGGCTGCGTGGTGGCCCGGGTGGGGCGGGGCGGCCGGGGGCTGAGACTCTGTCCCCAGATGCTGGGCCAGTTCATCGCCCGGGCGGTGGCCGACCACGCGCTGCCCCTGGGCTTCCTGGAGCGCTACAAGGGGCGTGTGGACTGCGAGCACGCCAGGTAAGGGCCCCCCCCGGACCCCCCTCGGCCCCTGCCACGGCCACCCTCACACCTCCACCCCCCCACCCCCCCGATCCCGCAGGGCCGCCCTCGACCGCGCCGCCGTCCTGCTCCGCATCAAACGCGACGTCAACCGCCTGGACAACGTCTGGGGTGTCGGGGGGGGCCAGCGCCCCGTCAAGCACCTCGTCAAGGAGGTCAGCACCCCCACCCCCCTCCCCCAGCACTGCCTGTGCCCTGTGTGTCCCCCCCCCGGCTCCATCTCTCATCCCTGCACCCCCCCCCATTGCGATATGCCCCATGGATTCCCCCCCCCCTCCAGGATGTGACCCCGGCTGCACTGTCCGTCCCCCCCCCATACTCATCCCAATGCCCTCCCGGGGCAGTGGGGACCCCCCAGCTGTCCCCATTTCCCCTCCCCATCAGGCTCGTGCTATTCCCCCACCCCCCCCCATGCTCCCCCCCCCCCAAAAGTCGCCTCCGTCCCCAGATGAACCTGCTGCTGCGGGAGTACCTGCTCTCGGGGGAGGTGTCGGAGGCCGAGCACTGTCTGCGGGAGCTGGAGGTGCCCCACTTCCACCACGAGCTGGTGTACGAGGTGAGGGGTGGGGGGGTCCCGGGGGGGGGGGTGGGTGAGGGGTGTCGTGTGTGTGTGTGTGTGTGTCCCCCCCCCCGCTGACGCCCGCTGCCCCCAGGCCGTGGTGATGGTGCTGGAGGGCTCCGGCGAGGGACCCGTGGCCATGATGGTGACGCTGCTGCAGGTGCTGTGGGAGACGGGGCTGGTGACGCTCGACCAGATGAACCGGGTGAGCGTGGGGAGGCGGGCGGGGGGGGTCGGCGGGCCGCGCACCCCCCGGGGTTAACATTGCTCTGTGTGGGGGGGTGGGTGGGGGTGTGCGTGACCCCCCCCCCCCCCCTCCTCAGGGCTTCCAGCGCGTGTACGAGGAGCTGGGGGACATCAGCCTGGACGTGCCGCTGGCCCACGGGCTGCTCGAGCGGCTGGTGGAGCTCTGCTTCGACCGCGGCATCATCACCAGGGCGCTGCGGGACGCCTGCCCCGCCAGGTACCGGCACGGGGGGGGGTCGGGGGGGGGGGTGTGGGGGTACCCACCCCCCCCTTCATCCTCCTCCTCCTCCGCAGGGGCCGGAAGCGCTTCGTGAGCGAGGGCGATGGGGGACAGGTCAAGCAGTGAGCGGGGCTGTCGCTGCCGGCCATCGGCCCCGCGGCGGGTTGGCGGTTTTGGGGGGGGGGGGGGGGGTCTGGGCTCGCTGTGCCCACTGCGTCCCCCCTCGTCCCCCTCCCTCTGCCGTGGGGAGGGGGTGTGTCCCCCCCCCCCACCCCTCCCGCCCCACCCGGCTGTGGGGCCGACCCAGGGACACAATAAAGCGGCTTGTAAGGGGGTGCTGAGCCCGGGTGTTGCGGCGGCGGGGGGGTCGCTGTGCGCTCGGGGCCGGGTTTGGGGTGATGGGGGGGGGGGGGGGGCGCGCTCAGACGGACCCCGCCGTTACCCGCCCGCCCGCCAGGGGGCGCCCTCGCCGGCCGCGCCGCTCTTCCCCGCCGTCGCGCCGCGATGACGTCAGCGGGGGGGCGCCATGGCGGGCGAGCGGCGGCGGCGCGGCGGGGACGGGCCCCGGGAGCGGCCCCGGGAGCGGCCCCGGGAGCGGGGGCTGCGGCGGGAGCGGGAGGAGCCGCCGCGGGGGGGGGGCCGCGGGCGGGCGGCGGCGGCGGCGGCGGCGGGGGCGCTGGCGGTGCTGGCGCTGGGGCTGGCGGCGGTGGAGTGGGGCCGGTGGAGCGCGGCCTCCCGCCTCGTCACCCCCCACCCCGCGCCCCCCGCGCTGCCCCCCGGTTCCACCGGGCCCCTCGCCTCGCCCCGCCGCTTCTGGGGCACGTACCGGCCTCACGTCTACTTCGGGATGAAGACGCGCAGCCCGCGGGCTCTCGTCACCGGTGAGGGCGGGGGGGAGGGCAAAGGGAGGCGGGGGGGGAGCCCCGGAGAACCGAGGGTGACCCCCCCCCCCCGCCCCCCCCGGTGTCCCCAGGCCTGATGTGGCTGCAGCAGCGCGGGGGGGGCGGCGGCAGCTTGCGGCACACGTGCGAGCAGAGCGACGGGCTGTCGCGCTACGGCTGGCTGATGCACGACGGGGAGAACTTCGGGGCGCAGGAGCTGCGCGACGGGGGGCTGCTGCTCACCACCGAGTTCGTCAAGCGGCCGGGGGGGGAGCACGGCGGGGACTGGAGCTGGCGCGTCACCGCGCGGGCTGAGGTGAGGCAGCGGGGCCGCGCGCGCCGGGGGAGCCCCCTTCCTCCCCTCTCCCTCACCCCCCCCTCCCTCCGCAGGCGGGGGGCGGCCCGGCCCCCCTCCTCTCCCACACCCCCCCCTCCCTCCGCAGGCGGGGGGCGGCCCGGCCCCCCTCCTCTCCCTCTTCTTCTACGTCGCCACGGACGAGCAGGGGACGCTGGAGCCGCGCCTGGAGAACGGGACGCGCCTGGCCGCCGTGACGGGGGCAACGGAGGAGCTGGGACGCTTCACCCTCACCTTCCTCCGCCCCACCGCCGGCAGCGGGGAGGACCCCAAATTTGCCAGGTGCTTGGCCACGGCCCTGTTCCACCCCCCCCCCCCGCCCCCTCCCCACCACCCTGACACCCCCCCCCACTCCCTTTTCCCCCCTCGCAGCTACAACTACCTGGAGGCGCCGAGCCCCAGCCTGCACCGCCTGACCGAGCTGGTGCGCCGCAGCCTGAGCGACCGCTTCGTCTTCGCCCCGCCGGGGAAGCCGCGCCGCCGCTACTTTGCCGTCGACGCCTTCGGGGGTTTCCCAGGGGAGCCCCCCCGGGGCCGCCTGCTGCTTCACCAGGTGACGCTGGAGCTGCCGGCCGTGGCGGAGGTGACCTTCGAGTCGGGCAGCGCCGGGGGCCGGCCCGGGCGGCTGGCGGGGGGCACGCTGTCGGCGGCGCTGGCGCGGCACGCGGCCGCGTTCGAGCGGCGTTTCGAGGAGACCTTCGGGCTGGCCCGCAAGGGCTTCCCCCCGCCGCAGCAGCGCTTCGCCCAGGCCGCCCTCAGCGAGCTCCTGGGCGGGATGGGCTACTTCCACGGGCGCTCGCTGGTCCAGTCGCCGCTGCAGGAGCGCCCGCTGCCCGCCGCCGAGGCCGCCCTCTTCACCGCCGTCCCCTCCCGCTCCTTCTTCCCCCGCGGCTTCCTCTGGGACGAGGGTTTCCACCAGCTGCTGCTGGCGCGCTGGGACCCGGCGCTGAGCCGCGAGGTCATCGCCCACTGGCTGGACCTGATGAACGTCGAGGGCTGGATCCCCCGCGAGCAGATCCTGGGCGAGGAGGCGCGGGCCAAGGTGCCCCCCGAGTTCCTGCTGCAGCGCAGCGAGACGGCCAACCCCCCCACGCTGCTGCTGGCGCTGCAGGGGCTGCTGCCCGCCGCCCCCCTGCCCTACCTGCGCCGCCTCTTCCCCCGCCTGCGCGCCTGGTACGACTGGTTCAACCGGACGCAGGCGGGGCCGCTGCCCCTCACCTTCCGCTGGCGCGGCCGCGACCCCCAGCCCGAGCTCTTCCTCAACCCCAAGACGCTGGCCTCGGGGCTGGACGACTACCCCCGCGCCTCCCACCCCTCGCCCGAGGAGCGGCACCTGGACCTGCGCTGCTGGATGGCGCTGGCCGCCCGGGTGCTGGCGGAGGTGGCCGAGCGGCTGGGCGAGCCGGCGGGGCCCTACCGGGCGGCCGAGCGGGCGCTGAGCGACAACGGGCTGCTGGAACGGCTGCACTGGGCGCCGGAGCTGGGCGCCTTCGCCGACTACGGCAACCACAGCGCCGCCGTGGGGCTGCGCTGGCAGCCGGCCGTGCCGGCCGCCCCGGGGAGACCCCCGCCAGCCCCCCGGCTGGTGCGGGAGGTGCGGGAGGCGCCCCGGCCGCGCTTCGTGGCGGCCCTGGGCTACGTCAGCCTCTTCCCGCTGCTGCTGCAGCTGCTGCGCCCCGACTCGCCGCGGCTGCCGGCGCTGCTGGACGCCATGCGGGGCGAGCGGCAGCTCTGGACGCCTTTCGGGCTGCGCTCCCTGTCCCGCGACAGCCCGCTCTACATGCAGCGCAACACCCAGCACGACCCCCCGTACTGGCGCGGCTCCGTCTGGGTCAACGTCAACTACCTGGCGCTGCGGGCGCTGCGCGGTTACGCCGAGGCCGAGGGGCCGCAGCGGGAGCGGGCGGCCGAGCTCTACCGCGACCTGCGCCGTAACCTGGTGGGCAACCTGTACCGGCAGTACGCCGAGAGCGGCTTCCTCTGGGAGCACTACAGCGACAGCACCGGCCGCGGACAGGGCTGCCACCCCTTCGCCGGCTGGTCCGCGCTGGTCGTGCTGGTGATGGCCGAGGACTACTAGGGGGGGGCCCGCCCACGCCCACGCCCACGCCCACCTTTCTCAGGTGGGGGTGGAGGCGCAGATCCCCCCCCCCTCCTCCCCCAAAAATAAACCTCCTCCAGCGTGGTCAGGTGCTGCCTGTATCGGGGTGGGGGGTGTCACGGCTCTGTGCTGCCCCGGGCTCGCGGGGACACCCCCTCCCTGGGGGTGGGGGGGGCCCAGCTCAGCCCCGGTGCTGCCCCCCCCCCACCCCCAGCAGGCGCAGGGCGGCCGTACTTCCACATCTCTTTAATGGTGAGAGAACGCTACTTGAACTGCCCGGCCCCCAATAGAGATGGGACGCCCACCCCCCAGGCCCCCAGCAGCAGGGGGGTGGGGGGGACAGGGCAGGCGTGGGACCCCAGCAGCCCCTGGAAGCAGTTCAGAGGGGAGGGGAGCTCGGGGGGGGGGGCCACCCAGTGCCTGCCCACACCACGCGAGGTACCGGACACAACAATGGAGTGTGCTTGGGGGGGGGGACGAGGTGGATTGGGGGGTCAGTCAGGGCAAGGGACCCCCGGGGGCTCTGTGGTGAGAGTCCAAACCCCGGGATGCTGCCCCGAGCCCCCACCCCGGCGGCAGCAGCTGGGGGCTGTGGCAGCACCAGGAGTGGGAGGGAGGCGGCACCACCCACCCAAACGCTGCCCGTCCCGCTCAGCCCCACACCGGGGGGTGGGGTTACACCCACCGCACCCCAAAGGCGAGGGAGCTGGGGGGGGGGGGGGTGCAGCATCCCCCCTGTTCTCCCCCGGTGGGGGTGCAGGCAGCAGGACAGGGCCGGGCGAGCGGGCGGCCGGGCTCAGATGGGCAGGACAGGGGAGCCGGGCCCCCCCGGCAGCCCGCAGCAGGGCGGGGGCGCGGGGCCAGCCTTGCCCAGGAGGTGGGTGCCTTCGCCCTCGCCCTCCTCCTCCTCCTGGCAGCGCCCCACCTCGATGCCAGAGTCCCCCGTCAGGCGCCGGTGCCGGAAATGCTCGCCCCCGCCGCTACCTTCCTCCCGTGCCGCACCGCCCTCCTCCTCCTCCTCGCCCTCCTCGATGTCGGAGCAGGGGTGGCAGTCGGCCTCGAAGAAGTCCACAGTGGAGGAGAACAGGGCGTGTTTGTGGGGGTTCCCCCGGGCCGGCGCCTCCTCGGGGGGCAGCTCCCAGCTGGCGCCCGTGCCGGTGCTGCTGGTGCCGCCGTCCTCGCTGGGCGTGCTGGCCCGGCTGCGCTCCGTCTCGTCCGTCGCCCGCGCCGAGAGCGAGGTGCTGCTGGGGGAGGTGGCGCAGCTCGACTCGCAGGAGCAGCTGGTGTAGTTCTCCGAGCTGGGCGAGAGGGTGAGGCTGCTGGAGCCCAGGCGGCTGCGGGGCCCGCTCAGCTGGGCCAGGATGGTGCTGTACGGCGGCGGCGGCGTGCTGGGCCGGTGGGCCACCTCCTCGTAGGCCGGCAGCTTGAAGGAAGCCAGCATCCCTGAGGAGAGGGGGGGGGGGGGACGCGGGTCAGGGGGCGCCCGGCCGGCACCGGGGAGGGGATGGACGTGGAGCACGCAGCCGGCGTGTGGTGGGGGGGGGGAGAAAACGGGGGGGTCTGGGGGTCCCCCTGACTCACTGAGGTCCATCATGGAGGCGGGGTAGTTGCAGGCACCGTGGTAGGCGATGAGGTTGATCTCCCGCTGCCGCTGCTGCTGTTGCAGGCGCAGCTTGGCCCGGCGGTGCCGGTAGGCGCAGCAGCAGCTGAAGAGGATGAGGATGGTCCAGAGGAGCCAGAACCCTGCGGGGAGCGGAGCCGGGGGGGGGGGTCACCCACCCCCCAACCGAACAGCCGCCCCCCCCGCGGCGCCTCCCCCCCCCCCCCCCACTCACACCACAGCTCGTAGTAGTAGGTGCAGCAGCCGGTCTCCCCGCAGCAGTGCCCGGTCTCGCAGACGTAGGGCTGGTTGTTCACCCCCGGGCAGTACTCCCGGGCCTGCGGGCACAGCCGCGCTGTCACGGCGGATCCGCGGACCGGCCGGTGCCCCCGCCGGTGTGTCCCGTGTCCCCCCCCCCCGGTACCTGCTGGTGCTGCCGGCCCAGCAGCGCGGCCCAGGCCCCCTCGGCGCCGCCGCTCCCGGGCCGCTCCATGGCTCCGCCTACAGCCCGCCGCAGCCCCGCGCCGGCTCCGCCCGCTCGGCCGCCCCGGCCCCGGCCCCCGCCGCCCGCAGCAGCAGCCGCTGCCCCCCCGCCGCCGCCGCCGCCGCCGCCGCCGCCGCCGCCATGGCGGCCACCCGACCCGCCGCCGCCGCCCGGGCCGCAGCCTCCGCCGCCGCCATCACGCCCGGGCCGAAGGTCCCGCCCCCTGCCGCCGCCACCGCCGGCCAATCGGACGCCGCCTCGCCGCCGCCCGCCAATCGGCGCCGCCGCCGCCGCCCTGCCCCCGCCAATCGGACTCCGTCTGCCCGCGCCTCACGCCCAACAACAGAGACAAAGGGACCGAGCCCCGCCCCCGCCGGGGACTGGCGGCCGCCGCCGCCAACCGCGGGCGCGGCCCCGCCCTCCAGGCCCTGACTGACGGGCGCGGAGGCCAACGGCAGCCTCGCACCGCGCCGCAGCCGCCCCTGCCCGGCCGAGGCCCTCCCCCGGGGCGGGCCTTCGGGGGAGCCCGGCCAACGCGCAGCGAAGGCACCACCCGAGCGCGCGATTGGCGGAGCGACCGACCAACCAGCGCCGCCGCTTTCCGCCGGGCAGCGCCTCAGCCAATGGGCGCTGCCCTGGGGCGCTTCCCGGTGCCCCGCCCCCGAGCCCGGCTGTACCACGATACGCCCGGGGGGCGGGGCGGGGGCCGTCGGGCTGTAGCACAACGCTCCCAGGAGAGGGGGAGCGGGCTGTACCACAAAGCTGCCGGGAGGGGGGGGACGACGACACGACGGTATGGGCTGTACTACAACACCCCCGGGGAGGGGGGGTGAGCAGGACACGGGGCAGGCTGTACCACAACATCCCCGGGGGGGGGGGGATCCGGGCTGTACCACAACACTTCGGGGGGGCGTGCGGGCGGGCAAGCTTCCCCCCTGCCCCCGCGGACCCACACACAGCTCCTTCGCCAAAAACCTTTAATCAGCTCCACGGCACCGGGCGGTGGCACCGCCGCGGGACCTGCCCGGGACCCCCCCCCCCCCCAACCCCCCCCCGCTCCCCACCGGGGCCGCCCCACAGCCGCGGGCCCCCCCACTCTGTCCATAGCAGAGGGGCCGGGACCCCCCTGACCCCCCGCTCCGGCCCTAAGCCGCGGCCTCCTGCAGCAGGAGGTTCCGTCGGTAGCAGGCCAGGCTGCAGAGCGGCAGCCCGGTGCGGGAGCAGGAGTAGCGCTTGTGGTTGGAGCAGCCGGCGACGCCGCAGAGCACGGCGGGGGGCACGGCGGGGGCCGGGGCGGGCGGCAGCGGCAGGGCCATGCCCGCCGGGAAGGAGACGGTGATGCGGTCGGTGGCGTTGCAGTAGTGGACGACGGGGCAGGGCGCCTGCTTGGCCTTGCGCTCCCGCAGTGTCTTCACCTTGGCCTTGTTGGTCTTGGTCAGGCGCTCGATGGTCTGGTTCTTGTTCTCCTCCGCCTTCTTGGCCGCCTGCAGCCGCCGCTTGCGGGCCCGCTCCTCCCGCTTCACCAGCATCTCCTCCGTCAGCTCCTTCGCCTTGTAACCCATGGGCAGCTCCAGCAGCGGCTGGCTCTGCTGCTTGTGCAGGAGGGCTTTCTGCAGGGGAACGGGGCGGGGGGAGGATCATCGCCACCACGGCCAGGCCCCTCCACCAGTCCCGGGGGACCCCGCTCCCCGCCTCTCCCGGGCGGGCACCAGCCCCACGGCCCCGGGTATCCCGGGCTGCACCCCCCGCCCCCCTCACCTGCCGGGCCGTCAGCAGGGACTCATCCACCTCCTTCTTGAGCTCCCCGTTGTCGTCCAGCTCGCCCTTCTCGAGGGCGTCGAGCCAGCGCTCTTCCTCCTCCTCCTCCTCCTCCCTGGCGGGAAAGCAGCTCTCGGCGTCCAGGTCCGGCAGCGGCGAGGGGTCCAGGTTGCTGTCCTCATCTGGGCCGGGTGGCGGCGGGGAGAACAGTCACCGGCGGGGGGGGGGGGGGTGTGGGGGGCTGTGGGGGCTCGGGCTGCCCCCGAAGCTGCGATGGGGTGACTCTACACTGCCCCGGGGGGGGCTGCGGGACGCGTCCCTGCCCCCGCAGCGCTGCCCAGCCTGTCCCCAGCGCGGGGGGGCACGGCTCGCTGCGGGGTGCGTGGGGGGATCAGCGCGTCCCTGCCTGCCCCGGCCCCCCCCACCCCCGGGGCTCCCCCCCCCCCCCCCCATCCATCGGCCCCCACGCCCCCCAGCGCTCACCCAGCCAGGCGCGGTACTGCTCGATGGGCACCCCCTCCGTGGGCTCCTCTTCCTCGTCCACCACCATCAGCGGGGAGGGCGAGCGCGGCGCCTCGGGGACCACCGTGAAGGTCGGCACGCTGCCGGGGGGGCGGCCGGTGAGGCCGGGGCGCGGGGGGCCCGGCGAGGGCGCGGGGACGGGCGCCCACGCGGGGCCCGCGGGGCCGGGACCCCCCGGCCCCCCTCACCTCTTGGTGCCCAGGATCTGCCCCCCCAGCTTGATCTTGAGCTTGAGCTGCGGCTTGCGCAGGCCGGCGGCGGGCCCGGGGGCCGGGGGGGGCGGCGGCGCCCCCGCCTCATGGTGGTGCTTCTTCTTGTGCTTCTTCTTGTGCTTCTTGTGCTTCTTCTTGTGGGACCCGTGCCCGCCGCCCGCCTCCGCCTCCTCCCCTGCGGGGGGGGGGGGGGGGGGCACCGCCGTTAGCGCGGCCCGGCCCGGGGCGCCGGCCCCCGGCCCCGGCGGGCAGCGCCGCCCGCCCGCCCCTCACCGTGCTCGCCGCCCGCCATCGCGCCGCGCCGCCGGGCCTTGCTCATCCGGCGGGGCCGGGGGGGGAACCGATTCCGCGCGGACCCGCTTCCGCCCGGCGCGGCGCGGCGCGGCGAGGCGGGCGGGGGTGACGCCGCCGCCGCCATCTTTGAAGCGGGCAAGCGGGTGCGCCGCCCGGGCGGAACCCGCCGCCGGGAGCCGGGGCGGCCGGGGGGCGGCGGGTTCCGCGGGGAGGGTGCACGCGCGCGCGTGTGAACACACCGGCCCCGCGTGCGCGGTCCCGCGCCGGTTCACGCGTGTACACACACACACACACACACACACACCCCCACACACACCCCCCCCACACCCCCCCCAGGCGCGGCCCCCCCGGCCCCGCAGCTGCGGGCGCTGACTCGGCCCATTGTCCCGCCCGTGCCAGGAGCCGCCCGGTACCGGCCGCGCTCCCGCCGGTGCCCCCGCTGCCCCCCCGCTGCCCCCCCGGTGCCCCCCAGGCTGCGTCCCGCCCCGTGCCAGGTGCGGCGGGGCCGGGGAGGGGTTTGCCGCGGGCCGGGCGCCGGGGGAAGGTGCGGCGGGAGCCGGCGGCAGCCCCGGTACCGGCACCGGCACCGGCACCATGTTTTGCCGCAGCGAGCGCAGCCGGGTGACCGTGGCCCGCGGGTCGGCGCTGGAGATGGAGACCCGCCGCGGCCGCTGCCGCCTCGGCCTCCTGGCCGACCCCGCGCAGGTACGGCACCGGCACCGGTACCGGTGTTGGTGTTGCCACCGGCACCGGCACTGGCACCGGAATTGGCACCGGAATTGGCACCGGAATTGGCACCGCCACCGGCACTGTCAGCGGCACTGGTACCGGTATTGACACTGCCACCGGTATCGGTATTGCCACCAGCACTGGCACCGGTATTGCCACCGGCACCGGTATTGTCACCGCCACCGGCACCGGCGGCCGCTCCCCGGCTCCCGGCACCCGCCGCCCTCGTCCCGCCGGCACCACCGGCCCAGCCGGGATTTCCCGCCCCGGCAGAGCGGGAAGCGCCCGCGCCCCCGGCACGGCCGCCCTCGCCGAACGGCTCGGTGCCAGGCCGGCGCGGCGGGACCGGGACCGGGACCGGGACCGGGACCGGGACCGGGACCCGCCCCACCCGCCGCTCCCGCTGCCGCCCCGGGGGGGGGGGGCCCGGCCGGGACCCCGGGGTGAGGGGCGCGGGGGGGGCGGCGGGGCCCCGGTCCGGCCTTCGCCGGTGCCGGCACACCCCGTGCCCTGACCCCCCGGGGCGGGGGGGGGGTGTCCCACCGTCCCCCCGCCCCCGCGGCACCGGCAACGTGGCACGCGGCCGGGCACGAGGCTCGGGGGGGCCCGGGGCACGCGGCGGGGGGGAGGCTCGGTGTAAACGGCGGGGGGGGGGGGTGTCCTGATGCACACGAGGGGTCCCGGTGCACATGGCGGGGGGGTCCCGGTGCGCGGGGGGGTCCCGGAGCCGCCGTTGCCGCCGCGGGTGGGGGCGAGGGGGGCGGCCGCTGTGCGCGGAGCCGGCGGCAGATCGGGGGGGGGGGGTGTGGGGGGGGGGGGGGGGGGCGGGCCGGGGGCGGGCGGGCGCCGCCTTCCTGCGCGCGGCGGAGCGGCGGAGCGCGAGCGGCGGGAGGTACCGGGGGGGTCGCGGGGTGGCTCGTGCTGCTGCGCCCACCGGGGCCGGTAGGGGGCGGCGGGACCGGGGGGGGGGGGGGGGGACGGACACACACACGGGACACGGCGGGGGGATCCGCGGAGGGGGGGCACCGGGAGCGGCACCGGGAGCCCATCCCCCCGCCGGCCCCGCTCCGGCCCCTCCCCCGGTCCCGGCACCCGCTGTCCTGGGCCCCCCCGCCCCCCCCCCCCGCCCCCCCCCCCGCACCCCAATCCCCCCCCCCCCCCAGCTCTGCACCCCATCTCCCGTCCCTGCGCCCCACCGCCAGCACCCCTCCTCCGGTCCCCGTCCCCCATCCTGACCCCGCGCCCCTTATCCCACCCCCGCACCCCAAACCCTGCACCCCCCTCCCTGTCCGTGCCCCCCCCTCCCCTCTCTGCCCCCCCCCCCCCCCGCCCGCCCCCGCTGCCCTTTCCCGCACAGTGCCCGGTTGTTCGGCGGGAGGGGGCGGCCGGGGGGGGCGGATGAAAAAGGGGGGGGGGGGGGGGGAGCAGCCAGTACCCGGGGGGGGGCCGATGAAAGGGCCCTTTTCTCTCTCCGCAGCCGTAGTTTGGGGTGGGGGGGGGGGGGATTGCGCCCCAGAAAGACCCGACTCCCGACGGCGCTGGATGCGGTGGGGTCCGCGGGCGGGGAAGCGGGGTGGATGCGGGGAACCCCCTCCACCCCCCCCCCCAGCCCCCCCTCCACCCCCCCCCCAATAACTGGGGGGGTCCCGGTGGTCCCGATGGAGGTGGCGGGGAGGGGGCAACGCCTTCAGATGCAGGAGAAGCTGCGGATCCTGGAAGATCTCAACATGCTTTATATCCGCCAGATCGCCATTAGCCTCCAGGTAGGAATTGGGGGGACCCCCCCCCCGGGACCCACGGGACCCCCCCGGACCCCCGGACCCCGGGGAACCCGGGGTCCGGGGGTCCGGGGGGGTCCCGTGGGTCCCAGGAAGAAAGAGAGCGCTCCCCACTGATCCCCTCCTGATCCCCCCATATCCCCCGGGGGGGGTCCCCAGGAGGACTTGGGGGTCGGTCTTGAGTTGGGGGGGGGGCCACTTCCCGGTTGCTGCTGCCCCCCCCCCCCCCCCTTTTTGCTGCTCAGGGCTATTTATAGCAGGCAGTGACGTCACTGCGGCTCCGCGGGCAGGGGGCCCGGGGGGGGGGGCGGTTTGGGTGGGGGGGGGTGCACCGGAATGGAGCAGCAACCGGTACCGGCAGTGAGTTTGGGGGGGCGTGGGGCTGGTTGGGGTGTCCCCCCCCACACGCACACACCCCGCTGGGGGTGTCTGTGATGCCCGGGGTGTGGGGCATGTTTTTGGGGGGGTGGGGGGGCATGTAGCGAATCTGTGGGGCGTGCGGCGTATCTGTGGGGCGCGTGGCACGTCCGTGGGGTGTATCTGTGGGGGTGCGTCGTTCTCTTGCGGGGTGCGTGATGTATCTGGGGCGCGTGGCACATCTGTGGGGTGCGTGGTTCCCCATGGGGGGGGTACACACGGTGTATATGTGGGGTGCATGGCTCCGCCGTGGGGTGCGTGGGACATCCGTGGGGTGTGTGGTTCCCCTGTGGGGTGCGTGGTTCCCCACGGGCTACACAACGTGTATCTGTGGGGGTGCATGGCGTATCCGTGGGGTGCAAGTCTGTGGGGTGATGCGTATCTGTGGGGTG